AAGCTACAGTGGGTCAGTGACTTATAACCTATAAAAATGACCTAGGACTGTTTTTCACATTTATGACCACTGCAGGTTCTCATGGTCACGTGATCAAAATTTGGACGCTTGGCAACTAGCTCATACTTATGACAGTTGCAGTGTCCCAGGGTCATGTGATGACTTTCTGACAAGCAAAGTCAATGGAGAAGCCAGATTCACTTAACAACCACGTCACTAGCTTAGTAACTGCAGTGATTCACTTGACAACTGTGTTAAGAAAAGTTATAAAAAATGAGCCATGGTGGAGCAAGAGTTAGAATGCAGTATTGCAGGCTAGTTCGGCTGAGTGCCAGCAGTTCGATTCTCACCAGCTCAAGGTTGACAGCCTTCTATCTTTCCGAGGTCAGTAAAATGAGGACCCAGATTGTTGCAGGCAATAGGCTGACTCTGTAAATTGCTTAGAGGGCCGTAAAGCATGATGAAACAACATATAAGTCTAAGTGCTACTGCTAAAATGGGGCAAAACTCAGTTAACAAATGTCTCACCTAGCAACAGAAATTTTGGGCTCAGTTGTGGTTGTAAGTCAAGGACTACCTGTATTACAAATTACTTATCCACATTTTTGAAATAAGCTAACAGTATTTTTTTCTGCTTCCATTTTTAAAAAACCACCCATGTTTTACGTTGGAAAATATAACCTACAGATATCTGAAAATATATGGCCCATTTTCAGAATCCTACCCTTACTCTACCAAGTTTGCTTATTTTTGTTTTACATATAAAATACTGTTATACCATTTAAAAACTTGAGAATCTTTCAAATTGTGGATACTAATTCTATTATGTCAGTTTCCGTTTTCTTCCTGCACATTTATCAGTTTAAACCTATTAAAAAATCTAAAGCTTAAGTCAATAAAAATCATCCATGAATAATAAAAATCATCCATGAATAATAAAAATCATCCATACTGTAGCTTCTGTCCTGCAAATGCTTGAGCACAATTCTTCAACAAAAGCAGAAATTTGAGAGTCACCTTAGTAGCAATTTAACTGAGGTAGTATTATTTAAGGTGGAAAGTTTATTTTCCCTAAAAACACAATTCTAATCTAGGTTATTTTTCAATTAAATATGATGGAAACTACCAATACTTTTTAAAAGTGTTTATCTACTAATGTATTATTAGATAATTATTATCTTATATCTGGGTTAACATACCATTAATGCAAATAGAATGTATATCCTGAAAAGGTATGTAACGAAATTTAAAAACTAGCCCCAGTATTTTACTTTTCATAATGGAGCCTCAATTTAGAAAGAAATAATGTTTCTTCCTCTTTTTTTAAAGGCTGATTTGCAGCAGGTATAACAACATGTAGGGAATAAAGCTATATGCCTAGATGCTATAAATTAGGAATGTCAAAATATCAAAGGATTAAATGTTGTAATGAAAGCTTTGATGAGCTGAACAATAAATAAAAAGGAAAAACAAGGAAATTGCATAATATTAAGTCATTACATGGATACATACATGCATCAAAAGTTACCAGCACTACTTATGTTGTCTTTATACCTTCATGTAGTATTTGGTCAGTCCAATACAGAAATGTTATTAGAAGAATAAAATAATCTCATCCCTGAACCATTTGAGAGCCTTATTAAAAGATTCCCTGCTAACTTGCCATGATAATTCAAAGTACTCAATAAACTTTATAGCTTCTGTACTGAACCCTATGCCTTAAAACAGGGATAGGAACATAATGGTTCTCATATAGCTGAATTATACATTTCAGCATCCTTCACTAGGGCAATGTTGATAGGGTAGCTAGGGGGATACAACAATGGAAAGGCTACAGAGTTCTTATCCCCAAGTCAAGTAAAACACTATATTTCAAAACAATGATGGATATCATATGCCTGGTCTCATAAGTTCTTCTAGATTCAGGACAGTGGAAGGCACTGAAAAACTAGTATACAACGTATAAAAAGGATTGCTCATTTATCTGTAGTTATCCTAATTAATTGCCGAGAGATTGTTATTATATTTACCCCTCTTCCCACCTAACCACTCTGGAATTTCTTCTGAACATTTCAATCATTTACTTTAAAGGTGAATCCTGTTTATACAGTTTAGCTAGAATTATCAGGGCAATTATATAATTACCATTCAAAATAAACGACCCAGAGTTTATGCAGGTTTATAACTATATTGTTTCTAAACTTTCATTTTTGCTAATAGCACAGGGTACATTTCCACATTTCATCTACTTTTTCATGACCCAGAAATTAGAATTTAAGACGAGGCCTTCAAGAGGTAGCATTTGCAATAAGCCAAATTTGAAGCAGATGTATGGCAGTTCTCCCCCCCCCCTACTTTTATCTACTGATAACACAAAATTATTTTTTCTTCTTCTTCCTCCTCCTCCTCTTCTTCTTTTTCGAATAAAACTTTTGACTTTCTTTGCCCATTTGAAGAACTAGCCAGCTAATCAACCTAGTAGCTGAATTCTGAATGCTTCTTCTGAAGAGAGGCAGTTCTGTGCACGCAGGTATATTGGTTTATCATCTTGTTTATATAGACAAAGGAAAGTATACATTCAAACTATTTGCTTAAAACCCCTGATTGAAGAAACTCGGAAAAATATGACAAATGCAAAAGAAGAAAACTGTATTTTTGATAGTCTGTTTAGTTAGCTCCTACACATAAACAACATCTCCATCATTAATTTTTAATCCTTTCATTCATTCATTAAAATACAAGGATACATAAACAATAGAAAAACCCTGAATATCTTTTATATCATGTAAACTAAAAATCCACTGATAAATATCCACATAAAAGGCAGGAAACCAAATGAGACGTAATGAATTGCTGTCACAAACTCTCTTCTTTTGTGTCTATTATTCACTCCCAAATCTTTGAGAGAACAGAGTTTATCTGTAGCTTAAAGGAGTATTTGAGCTACATATGGTGAATGAGTACTTGCTATAGCAGTTAGCAGTGGCAAGTCATTGGATTCAATCCTAGAAATGAAAATGAGAAAGTGTTAATATTTAAGGTACATAAAGTTATTTAAGCATCCAATGAATTGGAACTGAGTAACACCATCTTTAAAAAATAAGTCTTCCATTCTATATGCATTCACCTTTTTGAACATTATGAGTGTCTTTTCTTCAAAAAAATATGTTCACATTTTTATTAATCTGGGACTATAAATAATAAAGAAGATATTCACATTTAAATGTTCTAAGGCAAGGGTCCCCAACCCCCGGTCCACGATCCGTTGGGAATTGGGCCATGCAAATGGCAGGCATGTAAAACCATCCCCTCTGTCCTCCCCCTCCTGTCACTGCCAGCCTGCGGAGCTGGAAAGGTTTCGGGGCCACTGTCTAAGGCTTTTCAAATGATATCATTGATAATCTCTGTATCAGTAATAGAGTAGAGAAGACATACTGGGGAGAAATAGAAATCATATTGACCCTTTAAATCATGGACAACATCTTGCAGTCCACTCCCAAACCACTGATTCTGTTTATGCTTCTGTTGCCAAATTGTTGCTTTTAATGTGCTTGGGAATTAAACTCACAGGAAGTGATCACAATAATTGTGCTCAATTAGCTTATTACACTTTTAACTAAATTAAAAATAAATCAAGTTTAGGATTTATGTATGGGAGGAAGACTTTGTGTTGATGAGAGAAAATACTGTTGATATGGCCCAATACTGGCCTAATGTCATTTAGTTTTAATCCTATTTATATTGCATATTTTTTATACATGCTATACTTTTATGATCTATTTTATATCTATTTTATTTGCTCAATATTGAATATTACTGTATATGTCTTTGAAAATGCTTCGGACATGAATGAAGCATTTATACTGGCACCAGTCACTTTTTTATGGTGGTGGTGGTGGTGGTGAGAGCAGCCTTCTGGGACACTATTTAAAGGTCAAGTACAGATTGGGCTTCCAAGGAAGGACTGATGGCAGATTAAACATCCCCATGGGGGATGGGGAGCTCCGTAAGTGGGAACGGCATTGTAGTGGAATTGCCAGACAGGTTCTGGCTGATGAAAATCTCTTCAGAGGAAGGAGAGACCCCTGGAATAATCTATTTGTGCTCTGAAAGAGCTGCTCTATGTGAGGAGGCCACAGGAGTTCAGCTACTTGTGGTCAATAGCAAGTTGAGCAGCTTGGGAGTCAAAGGTTTATAAGTGCTGTGCAGCCTTGATTGATTGGCAATTAAATTAATTGACTTTTGATTGGCAAAAGTCTTTCTTAAACACCTTTAAACTTAATTACTTTATAACCTACGAAAAATATTTCACACAGCAGTAAAAATCAAAGACTCATGGTGAATGCATTTTTTTTTTTTTAGATTTGAAGGGAAGGGAAAATTATTTTAAATAATTTTAACTTAAAAGCAAAAATCTTAGCAAAACTGTGATCCAAGAAAAATTTAAAGACATAAAGGGGACATGGCGTAAAATAAACAGCCAGAATAAAAAAAAATTCTTGTGAAAACGCCTTTAAAATAGCAATAGCAATTAGCCTAACACACTGGATCTTTGTGGGAATGCTGACAGGTTATTAAGGATAGTACAAGGAGTCTTCAACTTATGACCATAGTTGGAACCAGATTTTTGGTCATTGAACAGCATTGAGACACCTACATAACTGCTTTGCCAAATGACCGCAATCCCATCTCTCCCAGCTGCAGTCATTGAATGGATTGCATGAGTGATTAAAGGGGGCAGAGTGAAAGGCCTGCCTGCTGAAAGAGGGAAGACAGCTCTCTTCTGTGTGCAGAAGGACCTCTTGTGGTGGGCTGCAGAAATGAAGCTCAGATTTTGGGGATTCAAACTTCATTTCTGCAGCCCCTTGGTGGAGTTTCCCTTGCCTCTGCGTGGAAGGGAACATATGCACTGGGCTGGAGAAACAAAGCTCAGATCTTCACAATCCTTGCTTCATTTCTGCAGCCCAATGTAGGAATTCCTCTGCTCTTCATGTGCAGCAGGAAATTCAGGTGGATTCTGAAGATCTTCTTTTCTGTAGCCTGACAAAGGATTTGTACCACTACCACCCCCACCCCCACCCACAATACATGGAAGGGAAGGAAAAATTTTGGCAGGTGGCAGCAGTTTGCAATCTTCCCTGCCAGGAGGGAAACTTGAAGACCAATTGTTGACCCTCCATTGCATTGAAAATATCTTGTTAGTAACCATGATTAAAATTATTACTCCAAGATGCTCTTAGAGCAAGGAAAAGAACATCCTCCCCTTTTTAATTTTAACTATTCAGAAATAAAAATGCAGCAATTATTACTATTATTACACTACACCCACATCTCCTGACATGCTTAAAACAAGATATCCTTATCTTAAACACAGAAATAATTTAAATTGATACATTTCCCCTTCTCAATCCATTTTTTAATTTTTATATTTTAATATTTTAATTGGTTAGACTTATTGCCTTGCATGAACAGTATTGACCAATATGTTTATTACAAATAATGGGACCCCTCCAGTGGACATGAGCTTTTAGATTAATAGTTTGTGATCTAATTATTTGGTTTCCTGGTGTTTTGCCAACAATTGTGGCTGGCATCTTCAGAGCTGAAAGTCACCTGTTCTGCAGTGGACTTGTTGGCAACTCCTTCCTAAATTCAATATTGATAGAGTACTCTGCATATGAGAGAGTCCTTGAGAGCATCTGCCTTTTAAAATTTCATTTTGTTCAGAAAGTAAAGGAAGACTAGAAATTTCATTTAATATAATAGGTAAGTTTGATTTACAGATGGTCAGTGCAACACACACACAGACACACACAAAATACATCTTTCACAGAAAACCTGGCACAAGATAAAAAAACCATGTATCTTGAATATTGAGTGAAAGATGAGTAAAAACAACAGCCTTAGGTTTTAACTTTAGCAGCACTCACCCCAATACCACTCCAAGCTCTTTCACATGAACTCTTGTTTGTCCTCGCAAATATTTAGATAGCATTGTGCTTTTATGGTACATTTCCTGTAGGCGATCCTCAAGGTGCATTATACACTGTAAGCAGAAGGAGAAACCCAGAGAGATAAAATCAAATAAGAACATGGGTGTCAAACTCGTGGCATCACATTGCCATCACTTGATGTTTCACGATGTTTTCCCCCTTCATGGAGCTGGGGTGGGCGTGGCCTGCATGTGATACATCTGGCCCGTGGGCTGCCAGTTTGACACTCCTGATTTAGAGGAACAAGCTTCTAATGAAGCCAAGATTAATCAAGCACTGCCTAAGCCTCCTAGGAATATGTCCACTCACATGTCCCAACATATGAGGGCTCCTTCTTTTCAATCTTGTCATCTTATAGGATCCAGGAGGGTATGCTTTGTCAGTGATTGCCCCATTCTCTGGAATGATCTCTCACCTGTTCTACACCCCCCCCCCCCCACACACACAAAGACATACACACATATACAACAGACCCCAATATTTCTAGCCTTTAGGAAAGTCACAGATCTAGCTCTTCCCTCAAGCATTCAGGGCCAATTGAATGAGAACCCCTCCTTTTATTTGTTATGTGCTTGCCACCATTTTATCGTTATATACTGTAATGGCTTACTGTTACATAGTGAGCTTTTTCTTTTTTTATCTATTGTGGTGTTTTTTTGTTTTTGTTTTATTTTGTTTTATGCTGTCCAGAGTCACATTGTTATGGATGGATGGATGGATGGATGGATGGATGGATGGATGGATGGATGGATGAATTTGAGACAATATAAGTGAGTAAAAATATTTTCCTTTTATCTGGTAGCTCATATGATATAAAAGATGTGGCCAGCACCAGCCAGATTAGAAAAACAGGACTACAGTCATAAAACTTCCTGAAGAAGAGTTATCAGTTCTTCACAATTGCAAAGGTGAACTGTTAGATTAACATAGTTAACATGTAGGAAAAGAAAGCATTAGTCACCACAGTGCCTCGTCTAAGTCTGAAAATCAATGTAGAAATACATGCAATTCAAAAGCCTGGATCACATCTTATCTTTCCTCTTTATCTATATTTATTGAATACACATGCTTGTAAATGAGTACTTACAAAGTCAGCAGAAAGATTAAGCTTGTAAAGTTGTAAAATATACTGTAATAAAGACGATACTAGGCTGGAGACGAGGACATCTTTGCCTAGTTTTATATTGTCAGTCATCTTTTTCTGGCTAGTAGCCACCTGAACTGTCCATTTATCAGTATCTGCTATAATGTAAACAGCCTCTGCGATAGATTCATCTAGTACAGGATGCTGTAAAACACACAACAAAACGAAGTGAAGCAAGACATTTTATTTATGTATTTAGTTAAAAAAATTATGTAGTTTCCATCTTATGTCAAAATCTGGATGGTTCCCATTTTCAAAAAAAAAAAAAAAAAGCCCTGTATTAAGGGTCATTTTGAATTCAAACTTAAGAATAAAACCTGCATTCCATCTAGCATAATAGAAGAAACATTTGGCAGCCAGTAAATATACTTAATTTAGTCAGATGTTATCGAACCATTTCTGCAAAGAATGCGCTCACAGCCAAATGAAGTGAAACGCTTGAGAGTAATTTATGCAATGATAAACCTCTATTGCCTAATAATAGATTAATATAGAGAGAAATATGCTTTTAAAATCATCTTTTCAGATGTGTTTTGTGCTAGAATGTTTACTTGTTTCAGCGCAGAGATTAGATGCAGATACGAACAGGGGCCCTGCCTTTAACTATACAGGGCTGGAAATCTGTATGTACTGTATATGAAGCGTTTTCTGGACCAGGACAGAGTAGAAATGCAGAACATATAGCTGCACGGATTAGAAAGGGGAACAATTGAAAGCTTTCTAGACAAAAAGAAAATTTTCATTTTCTAGCTGTTCCAATTAGAAAAGTGAGGGATAGGGAAGCCAGTTTCATTGCCACAGTCACAGCAATATTAAATCAGGGCTTCGGTCGGAACCCTGACACCTAAATTGCACTTTGACTTCAAGTAATTCACATTCTGATTCAGTTAGATTAAATCTCAATTACTTTTAGACTATAATTCTATAAACTGCAAACTTTTAAAATCAGATTTGCATTATAAAGGGAATCAGTGAGGCAGTGGTGGGTTTCAAAAAAAAATTGGAACCTACTCTGTGGGTGTGGCCTGCTTTATGGAAGTGACTTGCCGCCCATGTGACCTGGTGGGAGTGGCTTGTCGGCCATGTGTTCTCTCTCTCTCTCTCTTTCCTTCCATTTGTCTCTCTATCCCTTTTTTCTTTCATCTCTCTCTCACTCTTTTTCTTTCTTTTTTCTTTCTTTCTTTCTTTCTTTCTTTCTTTCTTCCTTTCTTTCTCTTTTTCTCTCTCTCTGTGTCAGTCTGTCTGTCTGTCTGTGTGTGTGTGTGTGTGTGTGTGTGTGGCAGTGGTGGGTTTCAAAAATTTTTGGAACCTCTTCTGTAGGTGTGGCCTGCTTTCCGGGTCCACTGGTGGAACCTCTTCTAACCGGTTCGGTAGATTTGACGAACCGGTTCTACTGAATAGGTGCGAACTGATAGGAACCCACCTCTGCAGTGATGCCTTCCTTCACTTGACCCAGTTCAATGTACTTCTAGGGGCAGAGAAAGTTGTTCTGGGCCCAAAGAAGTTTGGAATCAAGGACTAGCAGCTTTCTTGATACTTACTTTCCTATTGAATTTTCTACAGAGGTGCATTCTGCAAAGTAATACTCTTAATATGACTGAATTAATATGAGTTAACATGACTGAAAGGCAAGGCGGACATACTACATTCTAGGAGAACTCCTCCTCCAAATTAAATTTTGGAATCTGAAGGAGGTTAATCTTCCTTATTTGTTGCCAGTTATAAGGCAGATACTTTTTGCAAGGTCACAAAGAAAGGCTTCTAAAGGCAAGCAACTTCACTAGGCTTGTTCCTAGCCTAAAAATATACTTCCTTTCTCAGAGAGGAACATTTGATTTTGACCAGAATTAATAAAAGTCACTTGCAGACCTATTCTATATCAGGTGGTTGACTAATCTAATTGTAAAATTTAATAAATATTTTATGTATTCATTCATGAAATTTATAGACTGCTCAAAACATCACAACTCTCTGGCTTACAAAATAAAATGACACAAACAACAATATACATAACCTTTAAAAAAAAAGTCTGGAGAAACACCACCATTTAGACGACCATAAATAGAATGGGTCTGTAACACACTCTAACCCACGGTGACCCAAGGAACAGCCAAGGCTTTAAGGAACTGTTTAAATAAGATCAGGATGAGAGCCATACAAATCTCATGAGAAATGATATTCCAGAGTCAGGTGCCTTGACAAGGTAGGACCGCTTCCTGTGCCCAAAAAGATTAGCCTGTTTAATCAATGGAACACAGAGCATGCTAACTGTGCCAGAAAGTATGGCATGGATAAGAACTACTGAAGACAGCAGCCCCTCAAAAAACAAGGCTTACTCCATGAAGGATTTTAAGGTGATAATCAGCACCTTGAAAGGTGTTAATCGAATTGAACCAGCACTTCAAAAAACAGAGGTGTTACATGAGCATACCATGGCAGTGTTATAATTGCCGATGCTTGCTGCTTTCCAAACTGCTGCAGTTTCTGCCTGATCTTTAAGCCTTACACAGTGATTATAAAATTCACGATAAGATTTACAATTATAATGAAATGACTGCAAGAAAACAACCAAACTCAAGGAGCACCGAGGACTCGTGAATTATAAAAAATATGATGTAATCAGAAGAATATGATGTAATTAGAGTGTAACTATTCTTCTATCTGCAAATAGCAAAAATTACAATGGAATGTTACTAACGAAACAAAACCAGTAAGCTTTCCCTTCGTGTCCGAAACATTATTATTAAAGCTTTGCACAGAAATGGACAGACTTACATTGATGGTATGACTCAACTCAGCGGATAAATGTTGCTTAAGTTGTTCATCAGAACTTATTCCATGCAGCACAAGATCAGGCATGTAAGAGGTACAATAGCCCCCAAGAAGCGACCTTCCGAAATGTATCATGCTTTGAGAGCTAACTGTGCAAAATCTGAAAATCAAGAATTTACTGATTACTGAATACATCTCAGGGCCTTACAAAAAATAATCAGTATGTACCGTTATCTTGGCAAGACTGTAACATGATCTGAAAGGTTGACATTATGATCTGGTTTGTTTTTCAAGATTACAGCTCAAGATGAAAAAAAAAAAACCATTCACTCTGATATATAAATGTAAATTACTCTTTAGCCTGCAAACCTCTATAACATATTACTGAATCTTTCTCACAGAAAACTGTACACATTTTAATAGAATTCTAGAAGTCTACAAACAATGACTCCAAAATTCAGACAGATCCAGGCTACATGGATCACCATAACTAATAGTAACAGACTGTGTATATACCACAGCAAATAATTCCATTGTAGAATTAGATTTGATCATAGAAGTAAATACGAAGATCTGTATATTTCATGTGAGAATCTGGTCACTTGATCACCCCCTCTGCCATCTTCTTTTCAGAAGTAGCTAATGATTTACAAATACATTTAGACAAATTTCACACAGAGCACAATGCATCCCATTACAATTTCATATTTTCAAATATATTTCAGTTTCTGGGTTAGTAATGGTACAATTTCTCTATCTACCTTCATAGCCTATTAAATAGGCCACAAATCCAGGAAACAAATCCCATTTTTATAGTGAAAATTTTTAATTGAATCATTTGAGAGCATTAACCAAAAATGGAAAAATGTAATATAAAAAGATCTATTTGAAACATATTTAGGAAAGGTTTTAACAATGTAGTGGGACACTCCCCTTTCACACACATATGAACATACACAATTACAAACATACAGACTGACTTATCTTGTTAGCATTTTTTAAATCAAACAAACTACGTTCAGACAGCAAATCTGACATATGATATACAGGTATTCCTCGACTTACAACAGTTCATTTAGTCATTTGAAGTTACAATGGCTCTGGAAAAAGTTACATATGACTTTTTCACATTTATGACCTTTGCAGTATCCCCAAGGTCACATTATCAAAATTCAGATGCTTGGCAACTGACTCATATTTATGACAGTTGCCGTGCCCAGGGGTCAAATAATCACCTTTTGTGACCTTCTGACAAGCAAAGTCAATGGGGAAGCCAGATTCATTTCACAACTATGTTACTAATTTAACAGCTGCAATGATTCACTTAAAAAAAAGTCATTAAATGGGATAAAACTCATTCAACAAATGTCTCGATTTACAACTAAAAATTTGGGCACAATTTTGGTCATAAATCGAGGACTACCTGTAATTAAAACAATTTTAAAATTACTTTATAAACATTATTTTAATAACAAAAACAAGTAATTCTGTGTGTGTATCAGTAAACTACATATACTGTACTTCCTAATAGTTTGATGTGGGAATAATTATGTTGGCTTGCAAAGTCTTCCCAGATTAGACATATTAGTTTGGGCTGATTATGATGGGCATCCTTGGGGTAAAACTGAGCTTTGGTTGCATTAGAGCCTACTAGTCAAAATGTACTCAGTTGACTAATACTGATCTAATGACTAATACTGATTATGTGGAAGTGCTGCATGTGACAGAGACAAAGAAGGCTGGTCTATACTTTCAGTTCCTACAAAGTAGTTTTTGATAACCTCAATGACCAAAGCCATGAAGTTGACACCAATAGCATCTGCTGAAATTAACTGCATATGGAAGATTGGATTGTGAAAAAAATAGTAACATATGGGAATTAAAAAATGAAATTCAAGAAGAAAAAGCAAGTATAAATTTTCATATAGTGTATGAGAATAAAAAATGTAATCACAATAAATTAGAGTAACACAGTTGATAAATACATGCAGGGACATGATAGTTTAGATTTAATTGTAAATGAAAAGTTTAAACGTATGTCAGAAAACATGATAGATAAATAAATAAATATATATATAATGGAAGTGTGATCTTCCTCCCATATTTGGGCATACCAGGGGTTGTGACTTTAAATATATACCTTTCACCCT